GGGGGCAACCTAGTAGTTTAGAAGCACTGACGTCTTTGACTTGAACAATAACAGAGAAAAAGTTTTAGGCATTCAAGGAACACTAAACCACAATGTTATTCCACAGCATACGGTTACAGTGAAAGGTGAGGAACAAAAAAGACCAAATATGAGATACCATTAAAAGACAGAACACTATAAGAAGATTACATTATGAAGTAACATTCATCACCGTACGAAGATAATAGCAAATATGTGACAAGCTACAAATTTTATCAACATTCACAAGGAAGTAAATAAATAAAAACTGAGAATATATAAGATTACGCTCACACACTGCATTATTTTTTTATTCAGAGAGCGGATGATCAACCATTTTTCAGCAAAGCTTGTACAGATGACAACCATATGATGTTGTGAGAGATGGATGCATAACAAATATATCTTAGTGAGATCTAGGTCTAGCAGTCTGTACTCCAGAAAACAAGAAAAAATAAAACAAAAACAAAGCAGCCGGCTACAAAGGAGCTAGCATGGTAAAGATTTTACTCTATGTGCATGTTTGAGAAACAATATAATTTCCTTATAATTTAATGGTCAATGTCATACATTAATTTTAACCACACATTTCATAGAACCACAACTAGTACCACTTATCCAATCACATTTTCAACAACTTAAATTTTATCCAAACAAGCACTATAATTATAAACAAAAGTTCGGAATTCTTCAAATGTAGACACACATCTTACCTATAATCAACAAGTATATAGCAGAGATTAGGCATCTTTGTTAACACATTCAAGCTAAGAAACAGATAGTGCATCAGATTTGCAACATTTCCGGGTAAATACAGGAAAAAATAGATACTTTTTCTCAGCGAGAAATATGAATTAGGCAACTATTGTAAATATGTAAAACTAATCTTTTCATTAGGAAATAGTTACGGTATAGTTTCCTTTATTAACTTCCTACTTTGTAGGCTGTAACCAAGGACAATTTTGTTATTTAATGAGAAGACACTCCTCCGTTGAACGAAAATAATATTATTGACATGGTATCAAAGCTTTCAAATTAAAGGAAATTTCTTTGATTTTTCGAGTCACTGAAGATCAATTTTGGTCTAGTGATACTTGTTTTTTTGGTTCAAAAACTAACCATGTTGGTTCTTGGTGTAGGCGGCATCAGTGATCATTCCAGTTAAGCATTTTCATCCTGGGCTGCAGATTACTCATTTGGTTGATTTTTGTCTGACGTTTCAGGTCAGAATTCTGGTGGAATTGCTGTCTGACAATTCCATTCGTGATTAACTTGTGGGCTGCCGGTGATTTTGGTGCGTGAAACATTTGGTGGGCTGTCGGTGTTTTTAGTTCTTGCTGCCGGTGATCTGTGTTCTTGATTGTCTGTGATATTCAGTCGGTGTTTTCAGCTATTGCTGCCGGCGATCCATTTTCTTGGTTATCAGCGATTTCCCGAGAGTGTTGGTGGCGTCGTGTTTCTGGGTGATTAATTTTATTAGATTGTTCAGTGATTCATTTGGGTTGTGCATATCTGGTGGTTGTTTGTGTAAGAATTATTGATTTTGGATTGAATCCCCTCAATGTGAGGTTTCCTTCCATTAAATAGAAAGAGTCAAGGCAATTACAAAGGCTAATTACATAACTCACACCTAACTATCTGCTATTTACAACATGACACATGCCTAACTATTTGCTATCACATAATTCATGCCTAACAATTTGAAATCTATCACTATTATCTCATACATACATTAATAATTCCAGACATACCATCCAATTGACATCGCCATCCAATTGACATCTCCTTCAAATTGATGCTGGTTGATCAAGAAGCATCAGTTTGCTCACAAGAAATCGATGACAATGTCAAGTCATGGCCTTTGTAAAAATGTCAGCTATCTGGAGGGCTGTAGAAACATGAGGAAGAGAAATGATATGAGTATCCAAGGCCTCCCGAATAGAATGGCAATCCACCTCAATGTGCTTTGTACACTTATGGTAAACCAGATTAAAAGCAATTTGAATAGCACTCGTGTCATCAATCTGAAGGGGAGTAGGAGTAGACTGTGGAAAACCAATCTCAGCTAGAAGGCCACTAAGCCAAATAATCTCGGAGCATGCAACAGAAATCGCACGATTTCAATAAATGATTTAGAAACACGAGCCTATTTTATACTCTTCCGTGATATCGGAGAATCACCTAGAAACATGCACCAGCCAGTGATGGACCTCTGGGTGTCAGGACATCTGGCCCAATCTGCATCACCATAAGCATTGAGACGAGGAGTCCTTACAGGAAAAAATAAACCACGGCTAGGTGTGCCTCGAAGGTATCGAATGATACGACGAACAGTATCCAAATGAAGATGGCGTGGAGTTTGCATGAACCGGCTAACCTGCTGGACCGCGAACGAAATATCCGGTCAAGTAATAGTTAGATAATTCAAACTACCCACAAGTTGATGATACATAGTGGGATCAAATAGAAAATCACCTTCCTCATAGAGATACTTTATATTGACTTCCATAGGAGTATCTATAGAAGATGAATCCTGGACATCAGCCAACAGAATCAAATCTTGTGTGTACTTATGTTGAGTTAAGAATACATCAGAAGGATCAGTGTGAACTTCTAACCCTATGAAGTACAAAAGAAGACCAAGGTTCTTCATATGGAATGAAGTCTGAAGATGTTGTTGTAAAGAAGTAATTAAGGAGGAATCTGTTCTAGTAATAACAATATCATCAACATAGACAAGGAGAAGGGTAATGCCTCTAGAAGTCTGGCAAAGTAACAAGGAAGAATTATATCGGCTCTGCTGGAATGAAAACTGAAGTAAGGTAGTCCGAAACTTGTCAAACCAAGCATGTGGAGTTTATTTCAACCCATATTATGAGTGTTTCAACTTGCAGACATCCAAGGGATAAGTAGCAGTTAGTCCAGGAGGTGGTGCCATGTAACATATCATTTGGCCCCCTTTATTTGGATTTCTAATGGAGGGAATAGTATTTTTTTTGAAAAATAGATGGTTGTAAAAGAATGAAAAGTTTTCGATTTGCATGTAATATTATTTTATTAAAGATTATGTAGTTGAAAATAAGATAGAGAAAAAGTTAAATTAAATTGATGAGTTTTAATGGGGGCTAAATATCTTCTTTAAGATTACAGTGAAGAAAGGCGTTTTTGACGTCCATTTGATGAAGTGGCCAACCGTGAGAAACGGCAATAGAGATAATAGTCCGGACCGTAGTCATCTTGGCAACTAGGACAAAAGTCTCTTCATAATCCACCCCATACTTTTGTCTATTCCCAAGGGCTACCAATCGTGCCTTATAACGATCTAAAGACCCATCATGCATCAAAATAAGTATACACGAGCTACTCTCATTAAGCCGGTCTTTAGGACAGTAATTCTATTCTTACACCTATATGGAAGTTAATTTAAAGTGGGGCCAGGATATTAGCAATTCCTTATCTAATCCGATGATGTATCGACAGTTGGTGGACAGTTTGAATTATTTGACCATTATCAAACCTCACATTTCCTTTGCAATCCAACAAATCGGTCTGCTTATGCAAGCTCTTTGCCAGAACCATTTGGCTGCTGCTCATTATCTTCTTTGATATCTTAAACGTACCTCCGACGAGCTTTTTAATATCCGTCTGGAACTTCATTGTAGTTGTTGGGAATATTGTGATGCATATTGGACTGGTTGGGATGATACTCATTCTATTACAGGATGGTGTATATTTCTTGGTAATGCTCTCATTTCCTAGAAGAGTAAGAAATAGGACTGCATCTCGAAGTCTTCTACTGAGGTAATATATCGTGCCATGTCGTCTGCCACTTTGAAATATTTGGCTCTGAGGATCATTAGGTGAACTTGGTGTTCTATAGCTTTCCCCGACTCCTCTTAATACAAGTGCTATTCAGATTGCTGTTAATCCAGTATTTCATGAGCATACCAAGCATATTGAAGTGGATCATCATTCCACTCGTGAAGCCATTGTTCGCCATGAAATTACTCTTCCTCACATCTCCACCAAGCACCAAACAGTTGTTGTCTTTACTAAAGCTTTATCTCACCACTGCCATCAGTTTATGATTGACGAATTGATACTTCTTAATCAACTAACATCAATTTGAGGGAGAATCTCAACTAGAAGTATGAACTAGGCAACTATTGTAAATATGTAAATCGAATCTTTTCATTAGGAGATAGTTACGTGTATAGTTTCCTTAATTAATTTCCTACTTTGTTTAACCCCTAATTGTAGGCTAATTGTAGACTATAATCAAGGATAATTTTGTTATTTAATGAGAAAATACTCCTCCATTGGAGGCATTCGAACCAAAATAATATTATTGACACTTTTGGGTCTGGAATTTGATATGATTTAGTATAAAGGGCCTGTTTCTTGAATATTCCCGCAATCTTAAATTTTAATTCTTAAAACCATACCAGCTTACAGCTTGGGGAACAAAGACAGCAACATATGATTCATATTGAAGAATCATCATAATGTCTCCATATCTTAGACAAAAGACAATATAAGTATTTAAATTACAATGCACAGAAAAATAAGCAATCAGACTTTTAAATAATGGTTTTACCTCAAGCTCCTCTTTATTGGTTTTATGGAGTAAGTGCTGACTGCTTCGACCAATCAGCACAAGTGTAGGAAGCTTGATGACATTGGCCAAATGAAGCAGGCAAGCAAGATTTTCATGATTAATCTTCATTGATGGTGGTGGTGTTTGCAATGTGGAGCTCAAGTCCTGAGTTACATCAGTCGTTGGGCCTAATTTAATGCCATAAACTGAATACTCTTCACTTGTCACCAAATACCTGTTTTCTAACTTAAGCTTAGACTCAGGAACGACAAAAGGAACTACAAGAGTAGGCATGGTAGAGAAATCAACTCCTGCTAATGACATCAGAACTTCATTAAGAGCACAAGCTAAAATTGGAGGCTCATAATTCTGAAGGAGCAAGATGGAAACCTGTCAAAATATCAACTGTTCAGGAAAATTACACTAAACAAAAATTAAATGAGGTAAATAATAAATTAGATTGCATTTAGCAAAGTTTAAGTTCACCAACAACTGAAACAAGTTATTCTGTACGAGTATCAAGATCCACATGAGAAGCAAAGCACGTGAAAAAGAAATCATAAAACACTGTCAGTCAACAGCAACAAGAAACAACTGAGCCTTATTCTCAACAACTACGTGGATGGTTTTCGATTCATTGCTACATATATTTGAAATTTAGAACGCCCAATGCATCTAAATTGTTAACAAGCACAACATGTCATATAGTTTAGATCTTCCTCTTCCAACATGATCTACAAAGATTATATCAGTCTTATAAACAGGGACCCTCTAGGTCCATACAAGACATGACCCAACCACCGAATATAGTTTTTTTATTTTATCCGTTATTAGTGATACCTCTACTTGTTGACACATTTTCCTCGTATCTTATCATTTTAATCCATTACATCACATGTCCAACTTAGCGTTCACATATCCCCTACATTCATCTTGTGTACGTTAAAAACTGGCTTCCTCTTAACTTTATAGATATCATTTTATTCACAAGATTCTTGTAGCGCTAACACTTACTTCTGTCCATTTAACCCATCCTATGCGTTACATCGATGACCTCCTTGATGATAATCGAACTTAAATACCTATAACAGTCACTTCGTGAGGAAAATGATCCATTGTCATTTTACTTCCTAATATTACAAATAAAACCAATTATAAACAGCAACGCTCCAAAAGAATTAACTTCAAATACATGGAGTAAACCCCACCATATATGATGCACACAAATCCTTCAATTAGGACGAAACTCACAGTTTTCCTTCATATGTGAATCATGAGCTGATTCAACCAGAAAACCCTCAGAGATAAAGCAATTTAAGATAAAAGAAGCCCAGGACTAGATTCGCAATACCTCATAGAGGCCATTGGCATTTAGAAAGTGCAGAATTTGGCCAGATGCCTTGCGGTCTTTGACTCCATAGCGCTCCAAGGAAAGCTCAAAAGAATTATTACTGAAACAGAAGACTAATCACAAATAAATATGAACCATAATACTCACATACAAAGCGAAGATGTAGCAAAAGGAACCACTTACAGAATTTTGAGATTAGATCCAAGGTTTGGCTGGAGAGCGCCGTAGAAGGCGGAGCCGAGGCCGTCGGCGTCGTCGAAGAGTAGTATTACTTTCGGAGCAACCTTCATTTTTGGGTTTTCCACGATTTTCCTGGTGCTCCCAGCTACCGTGGAACGTATTTCTTTCACTTTTGGACAAATTACAATTTTCATCCCCAGCTTAAATATTTTGTCACATTTTTGTATTTAAACTTTAATGTATAATGTGGTCCTTCTCCTTTAGTTTTGAGTGCGTTGTTAGTCCTCAATGCCACTTTCTTGTCGGAAACCTTTAGCCCTCGTTTGTTTTCCATTTTTTCTTCATTAAAATGAAAAATATGATCGTTATCCATCACATCAAGTCATCAAATTTGAATTTCTATCTCTTATGCAGGGCCCATAACGAATATATTTTTCATTCTCATTCTTACAAAAATGGAAAACAAATGCCCCTAGTTTTGAGTTCGTTATTATTCCTCAATGCCACTTTCTTGTCGACATGTCCGCTAGTAGTGTACGTCAACAACATATTATGCCCAAACAACATTTCATTTGAAAATTATGTAAATGAACTAATAGGGTCTTTGATCCCTATTTTTATGAAAAAATACATTTTGAAATAGCAGATTGATGAGAAATATGTGATTGAAAAATAAGGAATTTTTTTTATTTACGTGTAATATTAATTTAATGAATAATGTGTGGTTGAAAAAAAAAGAGAAAAATATATTTTGGGAAGAATGAGAATCAAACAAGATAAATATTAGTATTGACTTTTTTCTCTGAAAACTATCACGCGTTGATATTAGCAAGATTTTTGATGGAAAAGTTACATTGAAGATTAAAGACGTATCTAAGGGCCCGTTTGATTGTAATAATGAAATTTGGGTGGAAAAAAAATAAATTTTAAGGAATTGAATTGCCTAGAACTTTTTTTTTGTGGAATTGTCAATTAAATATGTTTGATTGGTATAATTTTTCATCTAGAAAATGTTGAAATTTTGAATTTTTTGGTGTTCATTTAGCTTTATTTTTCATGAAATTTTCAATTAAATGAATAGATTTTTTTACAATCGTTGATAGAATTTGTTTTCATTGCCAAAAAACAAAAACAAAAAAAGTTGGAAAACCCATTTTCTCACCAAAACCAAGGAATTGGAATTCCTTCAAAATCAAAGAAAATGGGGCCATGTGAGGTAGAAGTGGAAAAGTGATCCCATGTAAAATTTTGGGAATCAAACAACACAAATTGAGTAGAAAATGGAAATTTTTTTCATTTTTCAAAATGGCTCTATCAAACATACCCTAAGAGTGAAGGGTTGGATATTATACTGCCTTCTCCTACAAGTCAACATATGATCAGAGATGTTGATGTGTTTGTATTTGCCAATGCATATGAAAAATACATATGTATGTACTGTATATTAATTAAGTTTTAAAAAAATAAATTGAAATTGTCAATTACTTTCAAATTATATGAATATTGTTTATGCTATTTGTTGGGTTGAGTGTTCATACAGTATACTATATTTTGTTGTGCTGAAATAATATTTTATAATAAATAAGTCATGATTTTATTATTTATTTATTATAATAATTATTAAACATGTGAATTGAAATTCTTATGAATTGTGGAAATGGAGAAAATTAAACGTTGGTTATTTCAAAATATGGTAATGTCTTGCTCATTATAAAGTTATGTTTTAGAGGGATCAAATGCGCACTTGTAAGATATACTCAAAACAGTAAGGCATGGCTTAATAAGCTCTTGTTTGAGCCCATTTTTTCGAAATAAAAGTATTGTTGAATAGTGTTTAGAACACATTTCAACCACACATTATTCAATAAAATAATATTACACACTAATCCAACATTTTTTCTTATTTTTAGCCGCACATTTCTCATGAATACACCATTCAACAATACTTTTATTTTTTTTTAACAAAAATGGGGCTCAAACAATGTCCTTGGACACCAATATCATAATTAAATCCCGAGACGTAAAGTCTTTGAGAACTTGTTATCTTCGATTAATACTTTTCTAAGGGAACATCAGGTGAAGATTCTTAGTTCTACAAGATCACAAGTAGAAACACCTTTCATTGATGTTAAAATAAATTAACTTTGTAGAAGCAAAAGAGCTCGAAAGGAGAAAGTGTTAGGACGAGATAAATTTGAATCTCAACGTATTTCTTTCTATTTGGTTGAGAAAAATGAGAAGAGTGACACAAGAATTACATCCTACATTCTTCAAGTGAAAATCGATCCTAAAACGTATCGAAAAACAATGTTATCTAGAGATAATATCCTTTGAAAAGATTTTATAAATGATGAAATTTATTCAATAATGTCAAATAATACTTGAGAATTAATCGATTTATCACCCAAATCGAAACCTAGAAATTGCAAATGAGCATATAGGAGGTAGTACAATTCAGATGGCACTCTTAGTACCTTTAAACTTAGGTTAATAACCAAAGGGTATCAATAGAAAGAAATGAATAAATTATTTGACACGTATGCACTAGTTGCGCGAATAACATCGATTATGATTTTATTCACTTTAATTTCTATTTATGATTTACATATAAATCAAATGGATGTTAAGATGATATTTTTAAAAGGGAATCTCGATAAGGAAGTTCATATGAAAAGGTCGAAAGGTTTTGTTCTAGTCGAAAATAAAGATAAAGCATACAAATTAGTAAAATCATTATAGAAATGGCACAAAAGATTTGACTTAGCAATAAATTCTTTTGGATTTAAACATAATAGTGTAGATAAATATTTAAATTCATAACTTTGCGATAATTATATTGTGCTTATTTGTTTATATATAGATGATATGTTGATTGTAAGTACTCACATACAGGGTATAAAATTTTTGGTCAAGTGGATACTATATTAAGTATCAAAGTCATTAAGATTCGTGGGAGTTATATGTTAAGTCAATCATATTATATTGAAAATGTTATCAATAAGTTCAATCACTTGAACATTAAAGAGACAAATACTCTCTAAGACCCAAGATTGAAAACTTATAAAGAATGATGGTCGAAGAGCACAACTTAAGTATACCAGTGCTAAAGAGAGTCTTATGTATATGGTGCAATGCAGAAGACTCAACATAACGTTTGCAATTAGTAAGTGATAAGTGTAATTTGTGTACTTATTTAGACCATATTATTAAACTTTTATATCGTCAAGTTATTGAATTTTATTGAATTTGGGCTTTATTTTTTTTGTTTGACCCATTTCGAAGCAATTAGGAAAGAAAATGATCAATTGGCTATTAAATAGAAGTTGTGGATCAAATCTCACTTGAATAAATGTCTAGCTAGAGACTATAAAATAAGCCCTTATTGGAAAGCAACTCAATTTTCTAACCTTTTATTTATTTTCCTTTCCGTATCACATTACATATACACTTGTTTTAATTATTAATTTGCATTAGATTTAATCATGTTTACATTTATAAGGCATCATCATTCTATCATGTTTCCGTTTAGGCCTTTAAATTTAATGTTGGTTATTTCGATTGTTTGAATTGAGTAACATATGTTCTATATTATTTGATCTCTAATAT